GAGCGATCCGGAAAGAGCCCGAGGGGGATCCCCCTCTCCCCCCCCCACCCCCAACCCAACAACAAAACCAGTCTCTCACCAAGACGATAAATAGAAAAAACGACCCGCACAGCTGGGAAACGAAAGAGGAGTGGAAAGGGCCGGAGCTGGTCTTCCGCCACATACCCCGTAGGAAATCGGCACGCCAGGAAAGGACTCCATGCTCGGACACCAAACCACGACGGGTGGCAGAACGGAGTTACTCGAGACAAACAAGTCAACGCTTTCTGTAAATTACTGTCTTACGTATAAAATATCCTCCCCAATGTCGTACCAGAAGTTATTTTTCAAAAATTTGTTTGGAATATGCTTTTTTTTTTTTTTTTTAAAAGAAACAATATTAGATCTTGAATTAATCACATTCACTGGTAGCTCTACTATTACATGCGTGCTTGTTTCCTTCTAAAACACCACGTAAGTATTTCTTAAGGCCTGAAAATAAGTGCAGTATATAATTGAACTAACAATATTTAATTACGCTGTACTAATGACATCCTCAGGCTCCTCTGTGGAAGACTTTCCACCGGACTAAGCACAAACGTTTAAAGCTTGCGCTCATGCCAAAGGAAGCAATTTCAGTCTCCCTTCGCTGCCGCTGCCGGCTGCCCCGCGCCTGCGCCGGCGGGTGCCCAGCAGACAGGCCCCGCGCGGGAAGGGGCAGGAGCGCGGTGGGGGCGCCTTTGCGGGACGAGAGGCGAAAGCACAAGGCCCCCGAGCTGCTAAATTCTGCCCCCAGCTCCGCCACTTGTCCCTTCTTTCATTACATTCTTTACTTACCATCTTTGCTTTTAAGCCTGTCTGCAACAGCGTACGTTAAACCTTGTAACGCCTCAGAGGGAGATCAAATCTTTATCAGCCGCTCTGCTAGTCTTAAGGCGAGCTGCTCACAGGCAAAATACTACGGTAACCTGAGCGACAAATGATAACAACCCACTATTGCAATTGGTGGTGGTGGTGGTGGTGGGGGGAAATAAATAAATCTTCTTCCTGGGATGTTGGAGGGTACAGTACAATATTCCCTCAGGAAAAAAAACAAATGAGGCAACAGGAATTTGTGGGGCATCTTTCGGTGAGCAGGAGTAGGCGACTAGCCCCTTTTAACAGGAAGATAACGGGGAACGCCGCGCTCTCCTGGTACCCCTCCTTCTCCCGCTTTGTAGCTTTATACAGAAAAAGCAAGCCGTTTGAAGGCGGGACGAGCGAATGCACTAACACTCCAAATCCAGAGAAGAGGGAAACCCCAAAGGTTACAAAAGCAAGCAGGGCTGTTACCGGAAGAGGAAGTCGGAGCAGGTGCTAAAGCAGAAAGCTCCCTGCTTTGCTGCTCCGTTGGGAATGAGACATGGGGGGAAAAGAAATTGTTCTGTCTGTTCCACTTCCCGTGTGCTCCTTCTGCAAAGCCTCTTCACTCGGTTTCTGTGCTTTTGACTCTAACCTCATACACCCTCAACAGGAATTTCAAAGTCATTCTTCTGCTGGCAACTCAACACAAACCACAGCATCGCGTTTTCAGAGGTTTCAAACGCTCAGTACCGTAGTACATCAAAATATTTATCGGCATATAAACGTACTACCCTCGGGATGATCCTAAATCTGCGGACGATCTTCTGCTTTTATCCGTGACTATTAGAACTCAAGACAACATAGAAATACTGACTTTGTAAGAATAAAAAAAAAAAACAAACCTCATTTCAATTTCCCTAGAAAAACAGGTTGAAACGGCGTCAGAGAGTTTTTCTGGCGAGGTACTGCCCTGCGTGTCTGTTTGGGTTGAGCTGCAAGAGGTCAATCCCGTGCAACTTGTGAGAGAGGAAACAAATAAAGGCAAAAGAAACAACAAGCCACAAAGAGCAGAGACACTAACGCAGAAAGTCAAAGTATGATCAAAAGTACAGTTGGGAAGAAAACATTCAGACTGCGTTGTATCACCCCAAAGCGTGGGAAAGAATTCAATTTGGGATTGCAGACACCAGCAGAGGCAACGTAAGCATTTCACTAAAGCTACTTGCTTTTGCTGAGACTGAAGAGGCAAGTGATGAGCCTTAAATAATACACTGCTATTACAGTCCGTACCATTGCTTGAACTGCAAAAAGGTTTGATAGATTATCGAGATGAATGCTACAGGATACGAATCCTTCCTCTCAACTCTGTGAGCCCTTCCGCACTCTTACCTTCCCCCAAACAGAAAACAGAACTGAGAACAGACTGTGGTTTTAAGTAATCAAACCAGTACCAGAGAAAGCAATAGCAATTTTGATAAGCATTTCCTTCTACCAACGCCTCCATTAGGCGAGACTTATGCCTTCCCGATAGCTGAAGTCAGTCTGTGCCAAGTACAAAACCAGGCAACCTAACGGAGTGCAAAGGGGAACTGCTACCAAAGTTGCTGTGCCAGGCGCACAGTTTTTTTGGTTTTGTTCTCTGTGTGTAGGGGGGTTGCAGTCTACAGGGCATGTAAACCCTTTAGGCAATTTTTATTTCTATAAGCAAACAACACAACAGGCCTGAAAAACAGTTCCTCTATAAGCAATAACATAATTGTCAAGTTACAGTATGTGTGCAGATGAACCAGGCAGAGAGCAAGGCACCCACACCAGCGGGCACAACTTCTCCAGTTCCCAAACTCTGCATGAAACGTAACACCGGCTGCTCCTGACATCCTCTTGCACTTGTATTTCCTCCTCCATCTCCTAACACAGTGTATTTTCCTCTTTATGCCATGCCAAGTTTCCTTCGGTTTAATCCCCGCTGTTCTGGCATTCCCTACTCAGTTGCCTCCACAGGCTAATTTATAGCAAATGCATCATTTCCTAATCCTTGTTTATTCTCATAACACATGGACTAGTGAAGAGGTGGCCAATGCTCCTCACCACTGAAGCTGCATCCCAAAATGCCATCAGGTGATCGGGAGAGCTCTCAGAGCAGTCTATGGGCT